ATAATATTTATTTATATACAACTTGGGAAGTTTAACAGTTTTTATTAACTGCGCGTTACTACTTGAATTAGCTAAAGGGGGTGTATTTTCTCTACTTTCTCTCATACTTAAATCAACTGAAATATTTCCTTTTTCTTTGGCGCTCAAATTATCAATTACATTTATAATCTTTTGTTTCCATAGAACAATTTTCTCATTATATTCATCTGAAATCGAAACCTCATTTTCGATTTCACTAATGTCGCACAAATCTTCAACCTTGCTATTTAAACTTATAAGCTCGCTTTCTTTGTGAATTAATTGTTCTCGAAACTCTTTTAAAGCATTAGTTTTATCTATATCAGCCAAATCATTACACTCATTGAGATACGTTTCAATTTTAGTAATTAATTTGGTGACCTTATTTCTTAAAACTTTACGCTTAGCCTTTAATTTTTCAATTTCTGACATTTTAATAAATTGAGCACACTAAATCAGATCAAGAAAATAACACCAACCTTCACACACTGGAACTATCGTCATTACTATAAATAGTATCAACCTCGTTCTGGAACTCAACATTGAAGCATCGATTCGACAACTCAAAATTTCATTGCTCGCTAATATATCCCGCTAACTGACACGAAAAAATGGTTACTAAATAATTGAAACTAACGACCCCTTAGAATTGACATATTTTAATGACAAACACAAAATAAAAACATACACAAAATAAAAACACGACAAACACAATACCTAATTGTACGACATTTTAAAGCGAACTGAACTGCATAAAACATTTACTAATCACATGACTTTTTAAAATGAAATATAGATGGCAGCACGCAATTTTTTAAACAGAAACAAAAAGAAATAGAATTAATTATAGGTTGCGAGCTCTTTTTTGAAATTTCAAAGCCAAATCAGTTTCGATCAGCATGTAGTAATTGGTTGTTTCAAGAAACTGTATTTGGTTACATTGTCGTGGGGAGCTCCGATAATAGTAGAAATAGATCGTATTGTGGATTAACGCTTAGTTCAGATACAAATTCGGAAAGCTTTGCTAAACAGCTACAAGCATTTTGGAATATAGAAACTGTTGACGAGCCCTCTATTGAACATAGTGTCGAATTTGAGTTCTGCGAAACTCAATCTAGAAATACTCATTATCGAAACCTTACATAGTACAGTTGCCTTCGAAAGAGGATCCTCCTTCGCTCGGTGATTCGAAAGCCGTTGCCGAAATGCGTTTAAATCAGTTATGGAAAAAACTCTCAAAGAATGAGGAGTTGCTATCACTTTATAAATCATTCTTAATGGAATATGCTGAATTGCAGCATATGCAATTAGTTGTAGAATCTGTTGATGAACCGCTTCCAGATTCAATGGCTAAGGATTGGCAGTGTTTTGTTTCTAACCTACCTGCCATTGAAAACATGCAAATTCCTCGTCACGTGCGGGAGAAGGGTGGAGTCGTGATTCACGGCTTCTTCGATGCATCAGCCGTTGCGTATGGAGCAGTTCTGTACATGCAATCAATTTCGGGAAAAACACCATATACGAGACTTTTGTGTAGCAACAAACCAGTAAAACCAGTTTTGTGTTTCACCAGTAAAACCTATCACGATCCTTCACTTAGAATTGTGTGCCAGTGTTTTATTGGCACAGCTTTTGAACAAGGTGCTTAAGTCTCTAACCTTGTCTATTCAACAAATAATGCTGTGAATAGATTCTACAATTGTGTTGGCATGGCTTCAACGGTCACCTAATCAACTCAAGGCTTTTATCAGCAATCGAGTTAAAGTAATACAAGAACTAACTAAGAAATGTCATTGGAATCACGTTGCATCTGACCTGAAATAGAGACCATTTCCAAGAGCATGGCTTTTTCAGGTAAGAGTAAACTTAACTCTTTGAATCCTTTTCTTGATGGTCATCAGATTCTTAGAGTGGGTGATCGTTTGCATTATACTGCTCTGAATTATTCTCAAAAGCGTCCAGCTATACTTCCTGCAGACCATCCTTTCACTAAATTGTTAATGACTCATTTGCATATCAAAAATCTCCATTTAGGACCTCAAGCGTTGTTATATTGCACTAGAGAAAGGTTTTGGCCACTTCGTGGTCGATCGATAGCTAGGAAAATTGTACATAAATGCATAGTTTGTTTTAAACATAAACCCCTTGTTTCAAATCAACTTATGGGAACCTTGCCTCGAGAAAGAGTAAACCCTAATTATCCTTTTTTGCATTCTGGTGTTGATTATTGCGGCCCTTTCCAAATTAAATATAAACACCAGAGAAAAGGGAATTTCCAACGGATTTATGTTGCAATATTTGTGTACGTAGCCTTGAAGGCGATTCACTTAGAAGTGTTTTCCGATTTAACAACCGATGCTTTTCTTGCTACCTTAAAGAGTTTTGTGGCTAAGCATGGCAAATGGTCCACAATATCATCTGATAATGCAAAAAACTTTGTTGGTGATAGTAGGGAATTGCAGCGATTGCAGAATTTAACTAGATTTCCTGAAGAAAAACTAGCATCCTATTTGGTATCTGAAGGGATAGTTTGGAATTTTATTCCTCCCAGAGCTCCAAATTTCGGGGCCTCTGGGAGGCAGGGGTCAAATCCTTTAAGTTTTACTTAAAACGAGCTACAGGAAATTTAAGATTAACATTTGAGGAATTCCTTACAATAGCGTAACAAATCGAAGGAATTCTAAATTCTCGACCATTAACACCTCTTTCAGATGATATTGATGACCTGGATAATCTAACACCAGGGCATTTTTTGGTTGGAAGATCTATAACTGTATATAGCTGAAATTAGTTTGTTGGATAAATCAGAAACCCGACTTTCTTGATGGCAAAGGTTGACAAAATTTGTTCAAAACATTTGGTCTAAATGGTCTCGCGACTACCTGAACAATTTGCAACAAAGAACAAAATCGAAGGCAGAGAAAACCAACATAAATTTAAATGCGATGGTTTTAATAAAGGAGGATTATCTTCCTGTAAATCAGTGGAGCTTAGGACGAATTTTAAAGCTATTTCCTGGAACAGATGGAAAGGTCAAAGTAGTGGAGATTAAAACAGGCAAGGAAATTTTTAAACGTAGCATTAGTAAATGGTGTATTTTGCCATTGGACAATTAAAGAAGATGTATGTTAATTTACTCATATGTGTACCTACAGCATTTATTCAATTTTAGTAAATTTTATATTGGAATATGTTTATGTACCATGGTTCTGTTAATTTGCATGTTTATTGAATATAATTCAACGGCGGGTTGATGTTCAATATCTCAGATATAGCGCCAACTTGGCATCTTTGTCTTGGCATCCTCGCCACCGTTTCTTGTAACTCCAATCAGTTGAAATTTGGTTGTTGATCTTATAGCAATAGCGTGCTCGTATCACCAATGATAATAAAAATCTTAAATACAGTCCATATCTATTTTATTCATTTGTTATCAAACGGACCAGCATAGAATTCAAATCAATTGGTATCGAACAAATTCTATATATTTTTCGAAAACTTTTTGTAATAATTATTAAAGGGTGTAATTCTTGATAATATAAACTTTTTCACCTGTGAAAATGATCAATAAAGACAAAATATATTTTAATAAAATAAATAACATTTTATTCAAAGTATCACCCAAGCACTTCTGCGAGCATACATCATACGTTTCTTAACAATTTTATTTTTACTCTACATTTTTTTTATTTACATCTAAATGTGCTGGTAATTGAATTGAATTGAATTTCATGAGAGATAGTTGTATTCTCACGTTCTATAATAAGTATGAAGCACTACGTTAAACTTCATACTATGACTAACTGATAAAACGTGAATAAACCCCAAACGTCCCGACAGAAATTATCGTTGTAAAATTTTGTGAGAAATAGATATCATGTTCTGTAATCAGTATCATTTAAATAGATACTTTCAAATTGAAAGGATATAGATACTTTTAAATTAACTCCTAATTTGAAAATAAAGTAAATTATTTCCTTTATTATAATATTAATTAAATATTTATTATAATATTAACTAAAATGAATGTTTTGAATATAAATGAATTCAAAGCGGCAAAAAATTTTAAAAAATAAGTATTTTGATATAATAATTAAATTATATTAGTTGATAAAATTATAAGTTTAAAGATAAAACAAGTTTATTAATGTAATTAAAAATATGATTGAATAAACACCATCGATATATTGTTATATATTAGTTTTTTCATTAGATAATAATTTTTTTCATAAAAATAAATATAAAATTAATAAAATTTATATTTCTTAAATATTTATATAAATACGTGTTGGAGCTCTTGTCAAATAGCAAAACTAAAAATTAGATGCAACCAAAGGCATCTGTCTAGTTTTCAAAAACTACTACTTGTCGTCGGACTAAGCGTAGGATGTTTTCGTGGTTTTCCTCTTCATATAACGTGGGCACTCACAAAGTCCTCTTTGAACGCATGTATTGTCTCAAGATATAAGAGTTCCCTTGTCTTCTGGGTTCAAAATGACAGGACTACATTGATAGCCGTAAATCCGAACGACGGTGATAAATATCTAATCTTATAAACTAATATTCATTGAAAATGAAGGGTTATTAATATATTCTCTTTCTAACATTTAAGTATAGATGGAGCCATTAGAATACACACAGTATTTTTTAAAATGACTAAATTAATTTTATTAAAACCTCAAGTTTCCTCTGAACTCTGTGCATTCACAGGATACTGGTTAGCGAAACCAAAACCTAGTATCCTGTGTGTGAAAGCATTTTTGTTCTGAGGTAGTGAGTTCGACCCCCCAATTAAATATCAACATTTATTTATTTATATATAATTTTTGAACATTTTCTAATTTCCTTGAAAAAAAATAGTAAATATTTTAATCACTAGATGGTGCCACTAGAGTAAAAGTATGTGCATGATATCATTTATTTATTACGTAATAAAAAGATGACGTCATTACTTCATAATATACGATTTCTCCCCCAAATAACAAAGCTTATAAGTATTGCCACCCTAAACAAGTAAAATCATATTAATAAGTGTTGCCTCCCTCAAAAAAAGTAACAAATGAAAATAATTTTTAAAAAAACGAAACTATATTAAAAACAGAAACTGAAACTAAAACTACAAGCGGGCAAAAATAAGCAACTTCCTGTTTGAAAGCGGGCAGAAATAAGCAACTTCCTGTTTACGACATATTTCGTTTTTCACCCGGGCAGAAATAATCACCCCTTGACTTTCCATGATGAAGTCACTTCCGTCCCTTAGTCGCGGGGTATAAGACGAATATTTTTGTTTTACAATAAAAAAACTGACAAATAAAATAAAATCAAACCTGGCCAAAATACCATCCGATATTAGACCAATACATGGGGGAAAATGTTCCTAAATGAAGAAACAGGTCCTTTGTCTAGCACAGAAGCAGACCGACTCCCTGTCAGAGAAAAGCATATCTAATAGCTTGTATGATCACCTGTAACAGCTACCCTCTCGCAATGGAGATTCATACTATTTACTAGGGACCTTATCAATCACTATTCTTATCGCTTCCACTCTTGTACCAAGGCAGCCTTGAGCTTATCGCAATTGAGTTTCTAAGGACGTCTTATACGTGTTCGATGGGTTTCATTTCAAGAAACATTCCAGGCCACTCAAATCATTGAATATCACCCGATTCATCGGGTATTCATTCAGAACTGATCCCAGTGCGGAAGGGAGTTATCGTAGATATCGTTAAAATTTGGTCTATATACTCTGTGGAAAAGTCTCACATAGGGTGATCGAGTCCCTGTATCGCACATCTGTGAGAGTACCTCTATCGAACACATGGTGCCCGCCTATCCTGATGCCTGTCCAGACCATCAGTGTTTCTTTTAGACAATGTTAAAGGGCCAATATCGACTCTCGGGATCTTTCCAGATTATAATATGTCTCGAGTCGCTGTCCACACTGAATCTCAACATATCACTGAAAAGAGCCTACAACCAATCATCCTCTATATAAGACAGAGGTTATCTCGATGCCATGCAAGACGGTTCTTTTTGTGGTTCACAGTTAAGGGGACCTTTAAAATGAATTTTAAAAAAAAGAAAAATAATTGGACTTTAAATTAATGTTTTTAACATTTTTATACCTCTCTTTGCTAAATATTTAAATAAATATTGTCAAAAATGATTTTTTTTTTCATAAAATCCCTAAAAATAGGGGAAATATAAGAAATATCGAAAAACACAAAAATTGAGGTTCGCGTCTCAAAAATCCTCCAAACAACTCAAAAATTTTTTTTAGATAGTTGGCAGTATTATAAATATTTATAAGGATCAGTTAGTATTTAACTGTAGTAGATTTTTGTAAAAAAAAAAAAAAATTCCCTTTTTTACAAGCTTTTTTCTAAAAAACGAGCATTTAGGAGTTTTCAAAGTACAATAAAAAATTGAGAAAGTAATATTTCACAAAACTAATCCTTGAGTACCTTTATAATACAGATATGAAGCACAGGGAAAAATATTTTTCAAATAAGTAAAAAATTGAGACGCGTACCACAAAACGAAACTGGAAAATTCACAAAAAAACTAACTGGAGAAAAAGGTATATTTTTGTAAAAATCTACTCTAAACTGATAATTTTCATAAATGTTTACATAAAATCAAATTTAAAGTTTATAAATGATTTTATAGTTGTAAAATGTTCTTTGTTTATTTATATATCGTATAATTATTTGATATTTATACGCAAAAAACTTTTTTCGTAAATATTGAAAAATGAAACAAAAAAAAAAAAATAAAAAACACAACAAGTACTTTATGCTTTCAAATACTACCCATATTACCTAAAACTTCAATTACATATATATATTATGATATTATAATTGCTTACAATTAATATTTATAATTATATTTTATCAGTTTTTTTTTATTTACTTTTCACTTTTTTTTCATAAATATGTTGATATTTTTGTGACACTTGAATCAAATTTCTAATCTCCTATAAAAAAGTAACAACTAAGTGATCTTGTAGTAAATAAAAATAACTCTTGAATCAAAACTAAAAAATCATAATTTATTTTGCCAAAATATAGTTTTGCGATACTAGCCGTGAAATATACATAAAATATACATAAAGCATGTGAATCGTCTCATTAACCAAAATTTCCATAACCATCATCAAATTACTTATATTGAGTACAATATATTTTGTTTATTTTATACATATAAATATTTATCAATTATGTATGAAGAGAAAGTGCACACAAATGACAAGCAGAATAAACCAAATAATAAAAAAAACACAAAAATTCAAAATTTAGTTTTTGTAATAAATATTGTTGATAGAACAAAAAAATTTTTAAAAAAATATGCCAAATCTCATATGTTGTCCACATTATCTAAAATTTTGGATTCATAACAATGGGTAATCAATTTATCATATAATCAATAGTTACAATAAATATTTTAGTACCAAGCACACCAGCACCATATGTGTTGCCCTCAATTGCTTTTATTTTTTTGTCTGCTTTCTTATCAGAAATTTTTTTTTATTTTGCTGCCTTTTTATGGGTAGCTGTGTGTCGCCTTTTACTCTGCTTTATACGTCGCTCATCAATACGGCGAGCTACAT